GCCGCCGAACTAAAGCAGCACTGGCGCAGGAGACTCCTCTCGGTGCAAAGCGTCACTGCAGCTGTGCAAAGCGGGAGCGCGGCACTGCGCGGCCTCAGGCTGACCTGGCAGCACAGGCTGTAAGCTGCCGGAGCGGGGTGCACACCCCCAGTATTCATAAGCATCTCACTAGCTTGAACGGTGGTAGGAAATGATTTCTGCTCCGCTGCGGGAGACCGAATCCATCCTCCCCACAGGAGCCTGGGGCTGTTGGACACGGTGGCGTAAGGCGCTAGCAGCTCAGCCCAGGCCCCGTTTGTCCTGGCTCTTGCGCGCTGAAACGCGTCAGAGTTCCGCTGCCCCGCTGGTGCATCCGGCAGACAGCGAGTAGCAGGTCTTGGAGAAGCCGCAGATCTTCGTGTGAAGTTGGTACAAACCGATGGGTGACGCGACAGGCTGCATTCACTGTCACTTGTGGTACAGGACAAGCAGTAATCCAGAGATCAAATGGATTACGTTGTCCAGGAGATCTGGTTGACTGACTCTGGCAGCGACTCCTGAGGTGTCACATCACAACACACCACTGGTGCCTGGAGCTCGGGCAAAGGAAGCCAGGCCAACTGCCGTTGTTCCAAAACAACGTGCCCTTGGAAAGCTGCCTGTCAGCGCTTCGGCAACAGGATCAGACTTGCAAAGCACTTGCTTCGCTCACAGGTAACCAGCAAAGCTGCATTCACTTTGAGAGGGTGGGAAGAAACTCAGGAGAAGCAAGGAATCTGCCTCATTTCAACTGCTTCATCCTGAGCTCACAGGTTGGCACTTTGTGTCTGAATACCGAGCTCACACCCAGGCATGAGCCTGTGCAGAATTAAAACCACAGCTATGGGTCACAGATACTATGAGGAACAGTCCATATTTCCGCACCAGGGGGGAGAGGCAGGGCAGGGATTTTCTGCAGGGCTGCTTAACAGGGCTGGGCAAGAGCCTGAGCCTTTTATGGCTTTGTCTTTGGCAGTATTTCATGCTTGGAAAAGCTGGGAAGGATTGAATGCCTTTTTACAGGGGCACAGAGTGACAGGACAAGGGTTAATGGGTTTAAATTGACAGGGGAGATTTAGAGTGGATATCAGGAAGAAATTCTTCCCAGAGAGGGTGATGAGGCACTGGAACAGGTTGCCCAGAGAAGCTGTGGATGCCCCATCCCTGGAAGTGTCCAAGGCCAGGCTGGATGAGGCTTTGAGCAACCTGGTCTAGTGGAAGGTGTCCCTGCCCATGGCAGGGGGGTTGGAACTAGATGGTCTTTAAGGTCCCTTCCAACCCAAACGGTTCAATGAATCTACTGGAACACTCTGAAGGAGAAAAGCGCTGCAGGTTGTCATAGAAAACAATTACAAACCATTGGCAAATGAATAAAGGGAGAGGGCTGGTGGACAGGCACAGTAGCCAGGATGGCACAAGCCCTTTTTCATACTCATCAGTGCTAAAAATCAGTATTAAGTATTTTGTACTACTGACAGGTTTAGTCTCAGGTTAAAACTCAGTATCCCTACACTGAAGACTTCTGTTCAGAAGAGCAGTAGGCTCTGCAGCAACTACACTGACAATAAAAGCTGCCATTTACACAGTCAAAATAATTGGGCTGGCCTCCCACGCACAGAGCGAGAGGGTCAAGATGGGAAGTTCATACAACTTTTTCCTTGAAGAGCATTATTAGGAAAGCTAACAGTGAGAAAGCTGCATGCTTCAACCAGCTGATGGGCCTCCCAAACAAATTACAGGCATGCTAATCCATAAAGTCTGAGTTCTGAGGTTGGAAATTATTAATGCACCGCAATCCCATTGGAAGGTGTTGCAATATTCATGCCAAAAACCTACTGCAGGTGTATACATAATCCCACTTCCCTACAGGCCCAACAGTTTACAACCCATGTACGTCAGAAGCCAGGAGGAGAAAGTGTTTAAGCCAGAGGAAGTTTGAAGCCCCATGAATCCAGCTTGTTGGGACCCAGCACTGCACTCTGATGAGTGCTGAGAAAGGAAGCACACCTGAAGATGCTGCTGCTAAAGCTTATTTATTTTAAACATGTTCTCCCATCTCAGGTATTTTTCAGACACGTCTCCATTTCACAAATAAACCAGTCTTCAAAAGTTACACAGAATGTGTCGTACAAAAGCCGCAGAAATGGTAGACATACTTCTCAAAAAATAACGATGATCTCACATCATTTACAGCAATAATGTTACAGTGAAACGCTCAAAAAGGGATATCCTTGTCAAAGGGAATTTGAAAAGTAAAATTAATAAAGTTTGGCCTTTTGACAAGACAGCAGGTTGATCTCACTGACCTTAATCACCTGGCGTGAGCTACCACTTCAAACTATGTATTTCTGCAAAATCTGCAAAAATCAACCGACACAGAAGATCAACGTTTCTAAGAAGAAATCTGTTTGAAGTTTTGAGACAGAGAACACCACTTTGAAAACAAAAATAGTGGGACAGCAGTACCAGAAAGTCAGGTTTTCCAAAGCATTGCTGTGCTTTGACTGGATCACCAATGAGACAGCTTTCTTTAGGAAACTTCAAACATTGAAAAATCAGTCTAAAAACTGATCTAATTTTTATTTTTAAGTGCATTAATTATTTTAACAGCACACCGACACTTTTAACAATCTTAAATACAAAAATTCAAAGAACCAGTGTAGTTTTGAAGTTTAGAGCAACTGACACCAAGAATGAAGTCACTAGTATTTCTTAGATTTATAAACCCTTTAGGTTTAGATATGCACCACCTTCTGGGCCTGTACACTCTATAGCACAACCAAAGCCTCATCCTTGTTGGTCGCTGCTTTCAAAATTTACAGAAAGTGATGTAAGAAATTTGGACGTTGGGCTTATTTTTTTGCCAGCTGAGTTACTGAAAACTCTCTTGGGATTTTAACGATTCCTTGGACATAAAAACAGACTCATCCACGGAGAAACCCAAACCAAATTAACAGGAATTATAAGTGTCAAGAATAAGATAGAGGATCTAGTACTAGCTGATTCCAACGGTCCAATGCAAATCACACTTCCTCTTAATTGAGAGTAAGTCCATTTGGTGATAGGAGGTGTGCTCAGAACTTATTTCTGGGAGATGTGCATACCTTCTGCCATAACAACTTTATTTTTGCCAACTGTAACGAATTTGCAAGCATACTGGCCACGTAAGAGGCTAAAGAGATTGTGTTTATCTACCATAAGAAAGGTAGAACGATGACTGCAAAACAAATGACAGCTAAGTAATACAGGCTTTAAATTAGAGCCAAAACTACAAGCAACAAAAAAAAGTTTGGAAATGTGTGCACTACCTCCACAAAAACCTGTAACGAGGTAAAGAACTGGAAACGCTGATGACACTGAAGAAAACAACAGACGAGATAACGACTGGATAAACAGTAATGCCTTCATCTTTTTGGGTTCAGGACCAGATGTGATGATGTGGTGTTAGGACAGTGGATTTTGCCTTGTTGCCTACCGACCTAGAGATTTTTATTTATCTACATATCAAAAAGTTTCTTGCTATGCCTTTCAGTGTAGTATAAAATTTGAAAACATTAGTAGTATATATTTGCTTCTTTTTATAGATCTTCATGTAATTGTGATGTTAAGTAGAACACCTAACAGTAGAAGCTTACCTAGAGTGTTGGTCCAATCTCAAAACACTACTTAGCAATCACACCAGTACTGAAAGAATCTACTTATCTTTTTATCAGGCTCAAGGTGTAGAACAACCATCACGTGCGAGTATGAGACAACATTGTATCATTACATTTAAGGTGCAGTTTTGGAATTCAGTAAGTTGCATCATCCCTTTTCAGGGGAATTATTTGAAGTGCTTTGGCTATTCTCTCTCCTATAGCTCGACTACTTGCTGCAATTATTCTTCGAGACATCAAATCAAATGGCCCACCTAGAAATCAAAACAAGCAAAGTAATTAGCTTGTATCTGGAGAAAATTAAGACTTTGTAAGAAAATGAGCATTTAAAAAAAAAAAAATCAAGCATAAACAATACCTTACTATTTAGAACCAAGTTTTGCCCATGGATAAAAACCTATTTAACACAACAGGTATCTCATATGAGCTACATTTAAATTCTCTTTAGTGTATGCCTACTGTCTTTTTGCACTCTTCTGGGTGCTCAGCCAAGGCAGTAAAGGCTGTTTTGCAGTTTAAAAACATACAATTGACACTCTCTTCGCCTATTAACTGGATGGGAACTCTGCTCAGTAGTGGTAACTTGGAAAGCAGACTGAAAACCCTCTTTGCCTTCTCATTTTAGCTATGTTTTGCTCCCAGTTACCTATTTAAAAGGAGAAGAGAGTAACAGGCAGGACCGTGTATTTACCTGATACATCTAGCAGTACTCCGCCTGCTTCAGTAATAATGATTCCAGCCCCTGCCATATCCCAGCAGTGAATGCCCATTTCGTAATAGGCATCAGCTCCACCCGTTGCCACCAGGCACATGTTCACAGCTGCTGTACCCACCGCTCTAATCCTAAAGGAGACACAGTTGTTATTTTAGCTAGGAACAGTTTGTAAGAAAGTCACCATGTCTGTGTACACTGCCCAGAGAACAGAAGCATCATACACAAAGTGAAGTGAGCTAGAGAAAATGTGATGGAATGCTGCAGTGAAACAAATAAGAAATTGGGAATCAAAGTTTTGCTTAAGCAGCTTGAAGAGCTCCCCAGATACAGTACATTTCCAGAAATAACTGAATTCATAAATACAGAACAATTTTGGTTTAGAGTGAAAACACATCTTAAGCAACTTCTTAACCTGAGACATATTATGGAAGACATCTGCCCATGAAGCAATAACCACTACTCTGCTTTTCAAATACAAGAATTCAAGTAGAGCATACACTGTTCTCAGTACTGAAAAGAACAGTTACTCCAGTTTCTCTGGTGATGCTCAGGAAGCATCTCCGACTTGCAAAAAACCTTAAGAATCATAGAATGGTTTGGGTTGGAAAGGCCCTTAAAGATCCTCTAGTTCCAACCCCCCTGCCATGGGCAGGGACACCTTCCACTAGACCAGGTTGCTCAAAGCCTCATCCAGCCTGGCCTTGAACACTTCCAGGGATGGGGCATCCACAGCTTCTCTGGGCAACCTGTGCCAGTGCCTCACCACCCTCTCCATGCAGAATTTCTTCCTGGTATCTAATCTAAACTTCCTCGCTTTCAATTTAAGAAAGAGCAGTAATGACAAAAAATAAATTACAGAGCATAAATTTGGTCTGGAAAACTTCATCAAAACCCTTGTGTTACAAATTACAGTTTCTTTTGGAAATGTTGATGCATGTAAGTAAGCATGGCTTGTACAAATAATCACAGTAATTAAATAAGTTAAATTAAATTATGGGTAAAATGTACATTAAATTGTAAGTGACAGCAGCTAAGTTACTGCAAGAAGCAACTTACAGCAACTCCAATCTCAATTTGTTGCTTACAAATAAAGTACCAAAGTTGAACTGACAACGTGCCTAAAATGTATTCCCTACTTACAATTTAGCATATACTCTTTAATGACATCAGAAGACTTTTTGAAGGTAGAAAAAACCCCCTATGTGTTAAGTGTCAAAACAAGAATCGTGAGAAACAGCATAAAACAACCACCCTGCTTAGACTGGAAACATGAGTAGGGCCAAGTAACAAACTGTCTACTGAAACCACCTTCAGACATAGAATCGTTTGTTGAAATGTAGGCCTTGGCTTATCTGAAGGAGGAAGCAGGGAACATCACCAAAATAAGAGTAGTTTATGGACAATTTTGCCTTCTTGGACAAGTTAAAAGAAAAAATAATTGTATCCTGGTGTAAGAGGAAAGGGAGATCATCTTTCTTCTTCCAACATACATAAAAACCCCTATGATTTTTATGACCACAGGGAGAAGAAACTAAGAAATGTCATGTAGCTTCTGCTTATCCAGTTTTACTCCTTGTGTGTTTCTGAAAAAAGCACAGAGCTGCATTCCATTTTTTTAGCTAGCAAATACAATTTTTAGTCCTACAAAAGCAAACATGCATTGTTTCTCAGTACCGATTTTGAGGGTTCTCATATATATGTCCAGATTGAAAATGCTAAACATCCTTAGAGTTTCTCTGCAGAAGCTACAAAACAAAAACATTTAAATCTTACTTCATATTTAGGGTGTCAAATGTAAGGCAACCAGTCCTTCCTAAAAATGATCCTATTTACAATATTAACACGATCAGCAAATATAAAAAATTGGAAGTATCTTACCCGTGAATAGGAATACTGAGAAGTCTTTCCATGTTAGAAAGAATTATTTTTATAGTCTCTGGATCACGATTTGATCCCAATTCTGTTACTAAAAGGGATTTTGTAATGTCTGGAAAAGAAACAAAACCTCACTTTTCCAACAGTACTAACAGAGTTTAATTTATTACTTTCTTACAAGACTGAATAAAAGGAAAGTATTTTAATATAAATATTACATATATTTAATGTATAAAAATCTGTTCTTACATAGAAAATGTTAGGAAAAAATAAAACACAACAAACAGAGCATGATCTGGTTCAACTGTGCATATAAATTTATCAATGTCATTAGTAAATAAAATTCTATTGCTATAAAAATTAGAACAGTCCTCAGATCTTTAAAATTCCCACATTAAGTGTGGATTTTACTTTACATAGGGTCGTTAAGTGATACTGATTTAAACCACTAGTTCACACCTGAAAGAAGCTGAATTGCTTGGTAGAGTTGTTACAGACTCTAAACAACAATCACAGACAGATTACAGACATATAAAGAATTAAAAAAACCAAACAAACTAACTAAAACCCACAAGACAAACACAGAGGGAATAAAATTTTCCATTGTTCAGTCCTGATTTTGCAAAGATCACAAGCATGTTACGTGCATCAAAGAGAACACAAAAGAGGTTTCTCAAAACCAAACAACCCATAGCCAAAAAAAGCCTGTCTGTGCAAAACTATGAGCGAAGGAAAGGGAATGTATCCAGGTCTAAAATTGTTGATGCTTCATTTGCAAAATAAATGTAATTGCTAGAAATAAGCTACGCAGCTCAACTTACCTTCTTGGCCTGATACTTGAAGTTTCTGACCATTGCAAAATGCACCTTTCCCTTTCCTGGCAGTGTACATCTTGTCTTCTATACAGCTATACACAATTCCAAACTCTATCTGCAAGAAAAAGTAAAGATACCTTGAGGTTTTTTCTCCTTTCTTCCTATCTACTGTGAAAATACAGATCTTAGTTATAACTAACAACAAGGAAATAATTTGGTTTTGATTGATTAGGTATTAAGTAATAAAAAGTATACCTTTTTGTTTACAACAAAGCCAATTGAAACTGCCACAAATGGAAACCTACAAAACAAAACATTTCACTAATTTATAGCGAGATACTATGCTTCTTTCATTCCCACGCTTACTCTTAAAAATACAACGATCAGTTAAATGTAATGTATATTTCAAAAGGAAACTTGGACTATATAGGAAGTGTTAGTTTTCGGAACTTGCACAATTTACTATGAAAACAGACCCAACAACACCGATTACCATTTAAAAGACCTTCCACCCACAGACACTAAGCCTGTTACCAGCTTAGGGGCTGTCGTTTTGTAGCCGAAGAACACAAGCAAGCCTCTGTGCTACTAAGCTTTCTCAGAAGGAACAAGCTGGCCAAAATGGTCTCATCAGAAGAACTCACCTCTCCCCCTACCCCACTTTCTCCACCAAAGCAACGAGACAGACAGATAGCTGAGTGAGAAGGAAGAGTGCAGGGGAAGAGCAAAGGCAGTGGGAGTATATAGGACGTGGTGGGCTGCATTTCAGTTTTTAACCATCAACCAATTAATTTTTTTATTATTATTTTTTACTCTTCAGAATTTGCAATTCCAAAACACTGCTTAAATTACTATCTGCAAAAAAAATACAGACTTCTAAGTCTGTAAATCCAGCAGAATGGGTTCTTTTGCTATAGCTTTGAACACGTTATTTAGCAGGATTCAGCAGCTGTTTAAAGCTGTGGCACACACATTGGCAGTCAGTTCAAAACTGGAATCAAGTACGCTCAGAAAAAGCTCATCAGGGCCAAAATCTATCATATTTCAATGACAGAAGGAATAAGCAGTCAGCATTACATCCTGGTGCAAAATACCACTAGACAGCTACTGGTGATATTCTGCTTTCTTTCATGGTAGCAGGTCCTAGATCTCAACGAATTTGAAATTCCTTTGAAATCAGCACTTGGAGCTGTTACCGCCTCTCTGAAAATACGGCAACTCCTAAATCTGAGTCCTGTTGCTTTACTGTTGAAATCTGCCCACCTACCTTTGGTACCTGTACCAGAGGCTGCTGACCCCTGCTATCTAGTACAGGCCTCTCATGGAACTGCTGTTGTTGGATACAGAATGAGACTATTATAATACTTACAGAAATACTAAAATTATTACAAAAACCACCCAATGCCTCTCAATAAATACAAATAGGAATCTGTAACTATCAACAAACTCGTAGTACCTCTTTTAAAGCAATTTAAAAGTGAAAGAAAACTTACTTTCATGGAACTGGAGAAAGAAAAAGAATTATCAGTTAAAGTTGCTAACATAAAAAAATGAAAGGTGGACCTGTGTACGAAGTTGGTGGTCCCGTCAATTGGGTCTATAATCCATGTGGGGTTATCTGTCAAAATGCTGCCCTCTCCAGCTGCAACAGATTCTTCTCCAATGAAGCTAGAGCAGCAAACACATTTAAAAGATACAAAGAAATTGTTTAATATGTCTGAATTATAACACTGGCCTTGAAACTAAAATCTTTAAAAGTGAGGTACAGGTTTTTGTATCATCAGTGATTATATGTAAAAAGCTAAGAAATACACAGTTTATCTGGAAAGCACCGAGTACATCTAACCAATCTTGCATCAATATTTATGATGTCAGAGTTAAGCACAATATGTGGGGAAAAGAACTTTACATTTTAGTATCCATTACTGGAATTTACCATTCAGAACATTGATGTTTTCATTATTTTTTCCAGTAACAGCATCATCATATTCTGTCAGAATACTTGCAGCCTTTTACACCTTTCATTTCATTTGTGCTATAAACCACTACTTCCTAGCTTGTGTTTTAACTGAAGAAAGCCTTTGTGGTCATACGCATCTGGTTAGACCACTGCAGTAACAGTTAGATTTGTAGTCTGATTTCAATCCAAGTATAACAGAAAGTTGTTAGTCTCAAAACTCTTAACTTTTACAAGCATTACAAAATGTTAACATGGTAAAGGGATGAAATCCAAACCAGAGCTCCTGAAGAAGACAGTAGAGTGCATGTTCAACCATAATACTAAACCCAAAGAATACACAAGTCACAGGGCCACAGGAACCCAAATTTCACAAGTTCTGCTGCTCATGAAATTATTTGTTTTGAACTGTAAAATTATTGGGAACCATCTAAGTAGGTGGAATTTCCTTCTATGCCTTTTGCATGTTCAGTTTACCACATTACTCAACCTATGAAAAACATGCGTCAAACACACTTTCCTCCACAAACATGTAAAATGAGGAAAACTGCTGGGAGTAAACAAATAAGGTCCCTTTAATACTGCGTAGGAATTTTATGATTACTATGGAAGACGATTGCTCAGAAAGAAACAGCATGTTCCCAAAAAGCAACAGATCTTCATGAACAGAAGGGAGACACTGAATAGTTATTTAGGTGGATGAGTAATTCATTAGAAAGAGATATGCAACAGCAGTATGTCTAATGTGACATCAATTATCTCATATAAAAAGAAACCAAAATATTCTAAGATGTTTTTCAATGTCACAGAAATCATTATTTCAAGATCATTCCACAAGTTTGTAGGCTTGCACTGATTTGGTTAGGTTATTGGAATTTACATCCCCGCAGTTGTTCCAATTCTATGCATATTTATTATGTTTCACATATACAGCTACAATAAGAAATCTTCAAGAAAACGGAAGAAAAATTACCAAACCCACCTTAAGGAAACTGGGTTAAACTTGAGCCATTGTGTCAAAATGTGAAAGAAAGTCCCATATAAGTAAAAGTAAGCAAAATACATACAATTCACCCTTCAAGAATAAATCAAAAATTTATATTTTGGGGGGGGGGGAGGGGGAAGGGTGAGAGCAGTAAAATAAAAAGGGGAGAGCAGTAAAATAAAATAAATCAGTATTCCATATGACAGACTTTAAAATTATTCAGAATCAGAAGACCCTGTCTTCTTTTAAGGATGTTTGATGTTCTTCAACTGTACGAGATTAGCCACCAAAGACACACTCAGTACTATGGGACCCACCCAGCACAGACAGTGCAGGCATGCTGGTTTCAACAGCAGACAAGAAATTTGGGTCCCAGTTGCCTTGGGGCCACCTTTGAATCTCCAGCACAAATAACCAAGAAGTTATTTACAGCTGGCTCAACTGGAAGTGACATTCAGCAGAAGGCTTGAGCAAGGCTTAACTCATGTCAGCAGACTCTGGGGATACCTTGTTTTGTTACTACGGGTCTGGGCAAAACTTCAACCCACTACTACACTAAAATACTTAATATATTGAGAGTAAGGGAAAATTCTGTAGTTTTGCATTCTAATGAAAATTGTCATGAAATTTTACCAGGCAAAATCATAAACTTTCCATTTTCTTCTTCCCATCACCTCTTCCCTTCTACTATTAAAAGTGTTTTGATAAGAAGTCATACCTGTGAGAAGGATACTTTTCTTTTATTGAAGAAATAATGAAGTTTTCTACTTTTTGATCAGTTTCTGTCACTAGATCTACTGGTGAACTTTTAGTCATAACAGATATTTCTTCTTTGAGTGCTCCACGGATTATCTATTAACAAAAGAAAAAGAAAAAAGGGGAAAAAAAAATCTTTTCCTCCATTAACAGTATGGAAAATAACAATTTTCTCAAAAATTTGAACGTAATTTTTACTGTAATTTTCTATAATGTACATACAAAACATGAACAGGAGCAGTGATAAAAACTGGATTTAACTGCAGGAGCTGGGACATACCCCTGCACCTGTCTCCAGCCCCTACTCAGCACAAACTCTGACATGACCTGAAATCCAAGTACTTCAAGAAGATCCACTGGTACATGAAACTGAGCTCCATTTTGTTAGGACAAGGTTTAGATTTATAAATTTAAATACTAGAATTGAATGACACACTTAAGACTGAGCTTAAATCAGCTATTTTTGGCCAGACCCTGGATTTATGATCTTAAAACTATCAGAATCAGCTTAAACAAGAATCCATGCCTCACAGCCCACAGAATTATTTTACTGTAACTTAGAAAGATTTTCTGAGGGAAGACTAATGAGGTCACTGCAGGGACAATGTTCTGCAGGTTCTGCAGCTCCAGGGGATGGAATTAAACAGGTGCCATCTCATCTGGCTGCATTCACATTCAAGTGTAACAAGCAGAACTGCCACCAACTGAACATTTGGTAACCACTCTCACGCTGAAGCTCTGCCAAGATGTGCAAACTCTTCCTTGTTCTACGCCATCTCAGATCATAAATGGGCAAAGTACTGCCACTGCAAGGGATGCTGCTTATTTACTTAGTAAAGCTATCTTCAGGAAGAGAACACCATACGGCATCTTGTGCCAAAACAAGCCCCTGTATGAAGGTGACTGATGTGTTTGCAAGAAAGACTGTCAACAGCTTTCAGGTGGTAAAATAATAAGGTAGAAAGGTGCAGTTTAAGGGCAAAAACTGAGATGCTCTTTATTTACCACAATTCAGAGTTGTTTTTTGGTTTTTGGTTTTTTGGGGGTTTTTAATCAAATTTAAGGAAGAAAGGATACTCCTTAGCCTTTAATTGGACTTGGGTCAACAGAAAAGTACAAAGATGTTTTCTTAAATTAACCAACATGTAAACATGAAAGACATTCCATTCTTGAACTTGAACACCAGTGAACAATTCTGCTAATTTATGTTTTAGACAAAATACTCCTCAGAAGAGTATCTAACATCAAACTCCTTCAAAAGCTAATACATACTAGACTTAATAATGTTATTATTTATAAATAGTTTACACTTACCTCCCCAGCTTTCCTTGCTAATCCAACTGCATAATCCATACATTCTTGCCAAGGATCTGCCATCTTTTCTTAGATATACAGCCTACCAAAAGGACAAATTAACACAAAAATTATTATGGCTATAGATTTACAAATTCCAATTTTCTACAGCCCTGTTCTGGACTGTATTGTTTTTTCCTTGCTGAAATATGGAAGTTAGTCTTACCCTTTACTCTGGGGAAAAACCAACCAAACAAAACCCCCCAAAAAAACCCAAATGCTCCCAAACCAACAAAAAAAAAAAAAGAAAAAACCACCCAGACAAACAAAGACAATTTTTAATGTATTTAAGCTTAATCTAAGTTACCGTTTCCCCCACGTTTTGTGATTATCACAAAGATGTAACATAGGAACATTAACAAGTACAGAGCCTCAGTCTTGAAAGATACATGCATATAAAAGATTCCACTCTTAGACACTGACCTCAAGGTACATAAAGGCTCCGAAAAGCAGTAGTGTGGTTACACACCAGCACATTCCCAAATACAGTGTACAGCTCAGGGCCTTTTTGCTTAAAAATACTAGATTCTTCACTGTAATTTATTGTAGAAGACTGCTGACATACAGCTTAGTCTATTTTTAAATGGTACAAATGACTTGGAGTATCTTAGAAGATTAGAACCTTAAACCCAAAAAGCTATCCTTTCTATATTTTAGTCCTCACTGCTTGTTCTAGGGGTTTATTCCAAACACAAGTATGAAATTATTTTGATTCTACACGAGCAAGTTACAAGATCCCAGGCATTTAAAAATGCCTTCTATATTCTTAAGCATTATGTAGGAATACAAAATATGCTATCTTGTATGCATTTCTACTTTTATGACCGATGTCAAATACAAATCAGGATATCACACCTTATTTCTGATACACCCCCAACAGACCACAAATTCATTCCATGATACAACGGTATCCTGAATTTTGGAATTCTGTTTCATTTCTGAGACCTAGCCCTTTCAGAAGCCTTCTGAGCATTTCCTACTTAAGTGATCCAGTCTTTAAGTGATGACCTGGGTAACAGTTTTATAACACTTGCATATTCACAAAGATCATTTGAAACAAAACAGTGCTGAAATAGTATCAAAAAACCTGTGTAATTAACATAATCCATGAGTCTCCAGTCCGATCATCTTGATGTAATGGTCCCTGCCTCTTTCAGTGTTAAGTCTTAAACAGCTAGAGATGGCTAGAAAAACTAGGTAAAATGCAAAGAGTACGGTGATTTAATTATGTTGATAATGTTCGTTACTGATCATAGCCCTTATACTATAATTTCACAGAATCACAGAATGGTTTGGATTGGAAGGGACCTTAAAGGGCATCTAGTTCCACCCCCCCTGCCATGGGCAGGGACACCTTCCACTAGACCAGGTTGCTCAAAGCCTCATCCAGCCTGGCCTTGAACACTTCCAGGGATGGGGCATCCACAGCTTCTCTGGGCAACCTGTTCCAGTGCTTCACCACCCTCTCCGTGAAGAATTTCTTCCTGATATCTAATCTAAACCTCCCCCCTTTCAATTTAAACCCATTACCCCTTGTCCTGTCACTACAGGCCCTTGTAAAAAGTCCCTCTCCATAGGTTCTGTTATATAAACACAGAAATAATTTGCCGGGACACAGAACTGGGTACAGTAGCACTAGGTAAAGTTACTCTGTTGTGGCAGTACTAGTGGAGCCTTCAGTACACTGACATCCAGTACAACTGCACAGCATTATGTACCACAGGAAAAAATAATTTCCACTTAAATCCTCACTAAAACAGTAACGCCAAAACACATATCCCAGTTATATACCCGCTCCTACACTGAGTTGAAGTCTCTTTTCCCCCCCAGCTTAGTTCTGTCCTCTCTGAATGCTCCGAGACGAGTTTATCCCACAGACTCAGGGCGGCATTCAGAGGTTTGCACCACGAAACAGCGCAGAGGTTTTGACACCGGGTTGGAAGGGCTGAAGGGCGGCCCACACTGCCCGGCGGGTGCGAGAACACCTCCCGTGCCGCTCCGGTGTCTTGTGCGGCCCTGCCATCGCTCGGACCGGGCGCAGCCACACAAGACGCCGGGGCAGCAGCGCACTCCCCTCACATCACCCCGAAATGGCGGCTGAGGAAGAAATAAGAAGCTTACCGCTGGCGCCCTCCGCCGCTGTCACCTTCACCGTTGCCTCCCCTCGCTGAGGCGCGCAGCCGCGCCAATGCGCAGGCGCCAAGGGAGAACCCCCTTAACCCCGCCTCCTCCTCCTCCTCCTCCTCCTCCCGGGGTTCTGTGGCTTCCCCTGCGCCTGCGTGGTGTGTGCTGCGGTGGGCGCGGGAGGGTGGCTCATTGCCTGAGCTGTTCAAGTTACGGTTCAGCTGTTGAAATTAGCTTTTAATATCGATTTATTCTTAATAAGTCAGCCTTGTTCAGCCTGGAGAAG